CTATTGTAAAAAAGTTTTTTAATTTTTCTTTCATTTTTTTGTTTGGTATTCATATTGTGAAAACAAATTTTAACGATCATGCCTAATTCAATAATTCTCTACGCGATCGAATAGCTCTTGAATCAACCACCCACTAAAACAAAAACTAATTTGAAGAAAAATAAAAATTGTTCTATTTTTTTATAAATATGGTCAGAACATTATGTGCTAGTTGCACAGCAACCAGCTATCATTGTTTTTCTTTGTGGTTGAATTATTTTTCTGTGGTCACTATCATTGGTCATTCATAAGCTATAAGAACTCTAAGTTTAAAAACTATCCATGGGAGCAAAAACGTTTGTGGGTTTAAGATTGTTGATGTTTGATCTTATGGGTAATTTTAACATGGATTAAACTGAGTTGCTATCCAATCAGCGATCCTCGTGCACTGGCGCAACTCGTTTTCTGCAAGCAAATAGTTTTGCTGAAAAACAGTCATAACTGGTCATTCATAACAATCAAGGTTTAGAAAACTTTATTTACAATAAAGTTTTTGAGCTTCCTGCATATTATTTTAGCTCTGATGCAAATAAAACGATGAAAAACAAAAGAAAGGATTTGTGTGATGTTGGATCATTAACAATAAAGACCTGGTAATCTTTAGTGTCAGATTCTCAAATGCTTGCTTTTCGAGACAAAAAAAGTTAATTTCAACTTCTTAGCGAGTTTCATTCAAAAGGTGTTTGCGCGTTTCACTTAAAAGATTTTTAAATCCCGCGCGTTTAATTCACTTTTTGTTTTAAAATTTGTTGTGCACGTTTTTAAGGACATGATTGAATTGATAGACGGGGTTGAATGATTGATTTCGAAGAATTTTTTTCCTAGACGCAGTGTTCGAATAAAGCCACAGAGTTGAGCAAAAAAAGCAAAAACCGAGTTTTTCTTGATGGAATACAGCTTTTGAAGACTTCATTTAAAAAATAAAAGATTTTTTTTAGATATGTTTTTTTTTACCTTGCGATAAAAAAGTTTTTCTTTTTGATGTTCTTTTGCAAAATTTTACTAATTAGTAATAGCCGGTACTTATGTTCAAATCTTAGTTATATTCTATCTCCCTACTTGCAAAATGAACGAGAAAATATTTCAAAAAGTTATAGCTCTTTTTTCAAGCATTGTGTGTTAGCAACGATTTCAGCCTTATAGACCCAGATGAACATTTTGTGGAACAACGTAATTTTATCAAGAGTAAATACAGAAACGAGCCAAAGTATAAACCAACCAACCAGTGAATAAGTTTATAATAACCAGTTTATAAGCCAGTGAAAAATTTAGATCATATAAATGAAATTTGCATAACTTTCGAAACTGTTACATAACTGTTACATAGTTATTTTATATCGCTTGGGTTTTTTTCGGCTGTTTGATACTTCGGCTGGTTTATATATCATCGCGTGTATCATGTAGACACGGCAGTAGCATTTGACAAATAATTTGAAATACATTTTGGCAATAAAGTCTGCAAAAAATTGGGGAAAATTTTGCTATTTTTAACAAATAACCTATAACGCTAGATTTTCCAGATAAACCTAGCATATAGTTGTTCTTCCTACTTTCGAAAAAACGACGGACTAATTGAGCTCGAGTGGTTTTTTTTCCCGACAAACTACATTTTTTTGACTGACAATTTTTGAGAAAATTATTTCTTATAAGTCAGAAAATATTGTTGCTTTGAGCTCAAAATTAAAAAGATGTTTCACCTGTGATCAATTTTTAAGAAGTTATATGGGTTTAAAAATTGGCAATCGCGCGATATATTTCGTGGTATTAACGTGTAAACGGAGATTTAATTCCTCATAAAAATCATTCCAAAAATCTTGTAGCAGGCTTTTTGTAATAATTTGTATGTTACTAATAGTAAAATTTATGATTTTTTGACTCACCATATGCGTAGAGGATGATTTCAAAAAATCATAAAATTTTAACCCATCTGATAACTTTTGTTCAATTATGCTGATATTTGAATATTTTGTTTGTGAATATTTTTAGTTAAGTGATTGGGTTTGAAAACTGCCAATATGGCCAATTTGGCATAATTGACAAGAGATATATTTCCTGCTATATAAATCCGTTTATATAAAATCCGTCTTAGAATTCCAACCAGGTTAGATTAGTTTTTTTGTCATAGCTGCAGCGTTACTAGGAGCAAAATTTATCAGTTTTTAATCATATGGGGATGGGTTTTCAAAAAATCTCTAGTGTTTCTGAATTTTTTCTCTTTTTTGATGAAAAATTGCTGCTACTGCTGCTTCATTGACCTTTAAAAGGCAGTCGGAGCCTTCAGGTTTTTTTTGTGATACGAGAAGTATTGTTCAATTTTTCCCCAAGAAATAGACTAAGCAATCTGAATAGCTTAAATGAAACAGACACAAAAAAATCAGTTTTCGAATTTGTTCAAACTTGTATTAACTCAGTTTTGGTGGAAATGAACCTCACAAAGTCCCAACTGGGGTTTTTGTTCCGACCAGCTGAAAAAGGGAAGCAACTTTGTATTCGAGTGTGTTTCTGATTTTTTTATCTTTTCTTTTTTTTTTGCTTTTCATGCAAAGTCAGGTACTCATATAAGTATCGGAATGGGTTGAGTGATATATCATAATAAAGCTTTCTCAGTCGTGATTCACCGTCGTTTTTTTATTTTAAAGTCATTTTTCTACAGATTTCACCTACTTTATTATGAATGTTAAATATTCCTACATTCCAGCTTTTTGACTAGGAAAAAAACGACAATAAGTTGAAAGTAAAATTTGGTTTTTTTTTACACTATGTGCGGAACATTATATGCTACTTGCACAGTAACGTAACTGGCTATCCTTGTTCTTTTTATCTTGATTAAGATTATTTACAATCGACAATGAAAATAAATTCTACAAAAGTCTAAGATTTCATTCTAAAGGTTTTAGCTTAACATAAGGACACCCTTGTATTACCCGATATGATGAAATTTTTCTTGTTCAAGACAGTTCTCAAAAAGTTCTATTCGACTCCACATTTTAATCCCAGAAAAGTGTTGTAATTGGACATAGAGGAAAGGGCTCAAGTATTAATGCCTTGACACCAAATTGACGCCTTGAATATTAACTTAAGTTAAAGAATATTAATAAACAAATGAATTTTTCGACATTCAGGTGTTTTCACCATCCATGAAGTAAAAATTGTTTTACAGGAACGTTGGGTACTCATTTCATAATGGAAAATAAACAGGTGAGTTGAGCTTCATAATCTGGAAAAATCAGGAAACAAAATACACGTATTCCCAAAAAAATTAATAAAATCAAGGCGTTTTGTTTTTGCCGGTAGTGTCCATAAATAAACAAAAACTTATTCAAATCGTTTGGTTTTTTGTTTTTTTTGTTTTCAGAGAACAATGAAGATTCAGAGAAATCTGTGCACCCTCATCTTTGATTGTTCGAATTCTGATTTTTGATTTTTTAACCCTATTTTTTTTTATTTGCTGAATGGAAGCAAAATATACAGCAATAAAAATCCAATTGGCTCAAAAAAATGCAACTTTTCATATTAAAAAGTTAAAATTAGTTTTTAGTTTTCCAAGTTTTTAAAAATGTAACTGCTGATCCAGTTTTCTCAAGTTGGTGTAATTTTATCATCAAAGATTCACTAAAAAGCTAATCTGGAAGCTTTACTTTTCGAACTTACAAATCAGAGTTTGACTAGACTTCGTATCAAAAACATCGTTCTAGAAAGAGGGAGAAACTTTTTCTTCAGTTGTGTTAGTTATTTATCTCACTCAAACTTATTTACCCCAAAAACTCATCAGAATGAATAAACATATTTTAGGTTGTGATTCGAAAGACATTAATAAAAACAACTCAGTGTCAGAGCAAAACTGGTCTGAGGCTTATAATTTTTTTTATCTGATTTTGAGCAAGTAAAGCTAGCGAGTAACAATTGCAAGATGATAATCAGTTTCCGAAGTTGTGGGAAACCAAGTTTTACTACAGAAGAACAAGTTTTCAAAGCTACTTGGGTCTTGGTTCTCACTTTGCTTTGACTCTCAAAGTCGAGCACATATCAGTGCTCGACCAAAAAAGAGTACGGTCGAAACATATCAAAATTGGGTCAAGCACGGTCGAAACATGCGAGCACGGTCGGATTATATCACAACTTGGTCGAGCCCGGTCGAAACATACCTCAACAGTGGGCAAAAATTAGCGATTGTTCGCGGTAAATGGGAGTCCGTAACAAAAATTTCTTTCGAATATCAACATATTTGTTAAAGTTTTTGACTCACATGGAACAACAGAGCATACATAAGATTCTTTAAAAAACCTCAAAAAAACATCCTGGGGGTATTACCCGAAAAGTATAAATTAAAACGGTTAGGTTTGGATAGCTAATGATAATTGTGAAAGTCGAAACGAACCAAAACTTGGTCGAGACGGTCGAACCAAACATATCACATATCACGCTCGGGTCGAACACATTGTTTTCGGTCGAGCATGGTCGAAATAAACCCACATTCGGTTGAGACAGTCGAAAGATGCCGAGTTTCAGTCGAGAAGGTCGAAACATATAATGAGAACCTCGACCCATTATATTAATGGGTTACGATTAATTTTAAAAAAGTTCTAAATTTTGGTTTTCCTCTCATCACTATTTGCTCAAAAACGGCGGCATTAAACTATAAAAGCAAAAGGAGGCGTCAATTTTTTCATGATTATTGTCGGAACTTTTTGTGCTGCTTGCACTGCAACCGACTAGGTTACTCTTGTTTTATTGGCTCTCTTTGCTCTATATTTGCGGTGCTTCTATGAAGTTTTCCGTGCCATAACAGGAATAATCAAACTATTTGGCCGATTCGAGCCCTTCTATACTAAATACTCAGAAAAAGCAGTTCAGAAAAAAAACAGAAAAATCAGTAGTTCAGTATTTGAAAAAACAATTCAGGCAGAAGAATTTAAATATCGAAAACAGACCCACTTCGCTCACTATTTTTTTCGTTAAAGGAGAAAAATTTGTTCGACTGCAATGGATGTGACGTCTATGCAATTGACAGATACTTTCTACTTTTCTTCACCTTCGTAACTGGTAAGTGAACTTTCTGTTAGAGCTCCCGCAGCCAGATTTTCGCATTCAGAATCTTCGACCATATCATTCCCCAACTGGAACACGTATGGGAGTTCGTTCCTAAAACTTATCAGTGGGGCCCCAAACATTTTTGACAGCATAAAGGAACTTACTTTGTTCATTTTGTCAGGTTAATTTGAGCCAGCCTTTTTTTTTAGCTCTTATTAAATTTTTGATCAAACTAACCTCACACACTTCAAGACCACAAAATAGAGATCTTCAACTGCATTATTTAGTTTGGATTAGAAAAAAATATTGGCGCTGTATTTTTGTCTGCCAAACTTTTTCAAAAGGTTTCCCTTTGCGCTATTTTACGGCACTCTTTTCCGCCTGACTAACGCTTTGGCGCCAATTTTTTAGGGAGGGTGGCTTTCAAACCTTCCAAAAAGGGCTTGTTTCCCAAAAATCGCCTGCTGCAACAAATTCCCAAAAATGACAAATTAAGGTCCTTCTGGGGTTACGTGGAAATAATTTTCAAAAAATCACACCCTCAGACCCCCCCCCCCCCGACAAACTCCTGCGCACGCCACTGTATACGCTTAGCGTCACGGACGTTTAGCAACACAGTTTAGCGTTAAGTCTATCGAATCCACACATAGTACTATCGAATGCACAAATATGTGATATGTGGTTTCTTTTCAGGATTCATTGCAATTTTCTTTTATATCAAAGCCAACAGGAAGTTCCGAGCAATGAAATCAACTTCAAGAAACGCCTCCAGGAACTCGACGTTGACAAAAACTTTTTCTCTGATTTGCGTTATTTGGATGTTCTGCTATATTCCGACCTTCATATACGGAGTGTGGCGTCCTCATTTGAGCAACTATCTGAAGGATTGAAACCGACTTAACTTCACGTTCCTTGTATTCCAAAATGATATGGAATAGTTGATTAAGCATGCAAGCATTTGAGGCGGCAAAAACCCCATACATTAATACTACGAACAATAGAGGGGAAAAAATGTTGCTATTAAAATATTCATTCACATAGTCCGATTGGTGCGTTTTGAAAATTGACGTCTTCAAATTTAACCTTTGTAACACCACTCGTTACATCATGCAATTGATGCTCCTGCGAGGTGGGGAGGGGGGGGGGCGTTGAGGAAAAACAGCTAGAATAGCAAGTTGCTAAGCAAGCAGCACGAACTGTTTCTGTTTTTGACCAGTAGAGGGCTTAAAGGGCGGGAAGAAGACGTCCCACGAGCCTGATTACAACTCAAGTGATAAACCACCGCTTTATATTCTACGAACTCAAAAGTAAGATAAATTTCTCATCACCGCAGTCAGAAAATGATTTGAATTGAAGTGATTAAATGCTTAAAACTAAATTATCATTTTAAGGATCCGTCAAGGAATCGGCTTGTCAATTTTTTGCGTATAACAGCGTGTAAATTCTTAAAAGCTAAAGAGAGCTGCTTTGCCAAAAGAATGGTTAAATAGCGCAAAAATTTCGGGGGGTTGGGGGGGGGTGCAGCATGTAAATTGTATCGACGTTTTTTACGTCGGCCAATTTATTTTTCCGTGCTTCCCTAAAATCCTATTAAGGGCTCTTTTACACTTTTCACGCACATTTCAAATGTTCATTTATCTTAATTGTCTCACGTGTTTTTATGGCTGAAAACGTGATGTTATAATGTAAATGTAAGGTATGAAGAACAAATGTGTTCACAATAGTGTTAATTTGTTCACCATGCAAAATTTCATTACCTTATTTCAACGTAAAATTAGTTTTTCAAAACTAAATTTTAAACTAAATTTCAAATGTGTGTGGGGGGCGTGGAAAAACTTATAAAGACTCACTTTTGCCCAATTTTTGAAGAAAAAAAAACATGCCGGAAATAACGTTTTTGAGCCCTTTTGAAGCGCATTTAGAAAAACTTTGAGGTTGGTCAACCAAAAACGGGTGTCGTAAAACAGTATCAAGGTGGGATGCCTTCGGGAAATTTTGGCAACCAGAACTGAGGAGGCCGTCGCTCGCTACTGTTATATGGAGATAAGCTGAGTCATTAGTTTTGATTATCCCCATATAAGCGCAATTTAACTAACCCGACAAGCAAGCAATATCAAGTTTTCATTAGACTGACAAAATTTTGAACAGCTTGATTTGGCTGCTGGGAATATGAGACAAAACATTGATCCATAAAAATAAGTCTCTATTTGGAATCGATACTCGGAAAGGGAGCAAAGTCAAATTGATTCAAGGATTGGGTTTGCGACGAAATTGCAAGGGGGTGCAACCCCACAATCTGCGTCAGATTTGACCACAAGATTCGTGTCTCAGATGACTTTTTCGACTTTCTGACTCGCTTTTATGGGATGGCCAATTCAATCCTGCTCATTGTACTCATGCGTCCTTTTCTGAAGCCAATTTTGAGAGTTTGGACGGCAATGAAGTTGGCGAGCAAATCAGTCTATCAATATCTAATGGAAGCGGTATGAAAAAAAAACTCAGTGCAACGACAAACGTCAACAAAGCGTTGCGTAGAAATCTACCTAACAATCCCCCTTTTTCATACCAGCTGATCAACCAAATTACAATCAAAAGCAGTTTATAGTATATCGAAGATACTACTTCTTGCTTCAACTCAAATTACAACTCTTCAACTCTTTTCAGCCACCCTAAATTTCAACTATGTTTGTCTTTTTTCCTTCAAAATATAATAATCTATTTTCCCTCTTTTATTTCCCTGAACTAAAAAAATTAAAGCTTCACCATATATATTCTTTCATACAGAGGTTACCTTTGGCTTAGTTTATGCATTTGTACATTTTTTAGTTGGTCAGCAAAACTTGGCTTTTGGTGATGCGCATTGATTTCAATCAACAGGATCGTTGTTCGAGGCCCACCATGACCAACAGTTTCTGCATTATCAAAGAAGGATAGCCGGTTACTGTGCAAGTAGCATAGAATGTTCCAACCACAGTCTTAAAAAAATACAAAATTGTTTTCTCAAAAGGGTGTCGTTTTTTTTCTGCATGTGAACGAAAAATTTGAACGAAAAAATAATAAAACTTAAGCATATTTGAGAGTCATAGTAAAATAGGTCAACTGGAAAACAGTTTTGGAAGAAAAATGACTAGAAAAACGAAAAAAAAAATCGAGTGGCGTTTCTTGTGGCTATCAAACGAAGCTAGATGTTGGAAGTAATACGACAAATTGGATACTGAATAACTGAACTTTTCATCATTTTTTGTATAAATACTGCCAAACTTCATAGTGAAGAAAAATTGTCGATGATCAGGATCCTCTCGCACGAAGAAAAGGACTCAAATATGTTAGAAATGGACATATATTTTCTAATGACAATCCTACACACTGGGTTCTTTAGTGAATAAATTATTTACCTCAAATCTGATGGTGAAAAAATTCTGGAAACTTATTGAAATTGTTTGATCAATTTTATCAAGCCATTACTTGCATATTTCCTTTAACAGCTGTTAAAATCTGTTTTCCAAAAAAACTATAAATATAATTATATTATTTATATACTATTTCTATTATTTGAATGAAGGCTAAAAATTAAATACTTAGACCAAATGTTAATAAACAATTATCTGCAATAATGGTCATTGTGGCTTCCCAATATCGCGGTTATGTGGTTTGGAATCCTATTCTGCTAATGTGTCAAAACACAAACTCCATAAACATCTTCTTACGTCAGATACAACCACGCATTCAAATCACTTCTTCTTTCTCTTTCCTCAGATCAAGTTGTCTTAAATTTTACTTTAAATTTCATCTCGGACAAATTTAAATACATTTTGATAATATTTTTCATTTATACTGACATCTCGTAACTAATTCACGACGCTACCAAATCGTAATGCCAAAAGGTTTGTTCAATCATTTTTTCGAGAACAACTTTTTGATAGGTTGAAGTTTTCCAATTAAATATGTTTCTGAGAGATCTGAAAACTGCACGCAAACTCTATATGACTGATATTCTATTTCGAATTTATATTTCTACATTCTATATTTCTGATGAATAAATTATCTCAGAAAAAAGTTTTCAATTTTTTTTCAGTTTTCGAAAATTTAGTCAGGTGATGCGGGAATTTCAGAATGGTTAGAATTGGTTTATTTTTTATTGAACTAAGCTTAAGTTTTTTTTTTCGTTTTTTAGAAAAGCTTACAGCAAGATATTTTGAAATTGAATTCAATTTTGGTTCCCTTTCTCAGCATCTCTTCGTATTTTGTTTATCTTTCCCTTTCTGTTTGACGACTGTTTGTTATATTCAAATACAGGTATTTAAGGTCCTGTCCCATCAACCAACAAGGCCAACTGCACCACCCCCACGAACAGAGCTCGTCAAGTTCAGAGGAAGTTGGAGATCGGAATCAGCAGCCGCCTCACCCTCTTTCGAAGTCTACTTCCGCCCTCTACGACCACCCAAGCCCCCACTCATCACAACACTCAAGGTCAGTTTAGAGGGCAACGAGCAGGCTTTAAACCCATGTTAAACACCGAATGGGCAGAGAAAACGGTTAGAGTCGCAACTCTGAAGACCTAATAAACATGGATAAATAATAACGATTACTTGAACAGAAAACAACTGAAAAGTAAATTTGATAAACTGCTAATTTGAACAAGTGATGCAATCATCACCTTACATCAAACAAATACTGTTCTCAAATTAGTTCCCAAATGTCACTTTTTCATTTTAAAAAAACGAAAAAATTTGTTGATATGAGTTGCTCGAATCACAATGAGAGATGTTTTAAGTACAGTGTCGTTTGAGACCGGATTGTTTTGATATGATCTTCAACTTGCAGATTCCTCGGCAGAGAGGGTACGACTAGGACCCGACACAACTACTCGGCAACTGCAGCATCAGCCTACCCCTACCTCCGCAACACAGCAGCAGCAGCAGCACAAAACCTCCCTTCGTCAGCAGCAGCGAGTCCCCTGCAGCAGCAGTTTCCGCAACATACCCTACCACCGTCTTCGTTAAGAAAGGCCAAACAGTTCTCGAGGAGCTGCGAATCTCTTTTCGCAGAACGTAAGTAACATTTAGTTGAAAATAAGATTGAATGAGGGAGAAACATTCAGAAAAAAACAATAACTTCAGAACAAATTAACCACGAAGACAAGCATGCAAAAATTGTCTACATCCTCGTCCAGAAAATTGTGGTTTTCATGTATATGATCATGTGAACTTGTTCTTAGTTTTTTAAAATTAAAATGATAATCATTGATTGATTTGGAATTAACGGAGGAGAGGAGAATGCCTTTTCAAAGTACCATCAATGAAACCAACAACAAAAGAAACATGCTCTAAACTTTTTGTTTCCAGACACCGACCTTGGTGATTTCAACCTCTCCACTTCCAATCTCAACCTACATCGTGCCGAATCACAGAACTCACTAGCCAACCAGAACCAGAGTAGCAGCTTCGTCGCCCTCTTGCGAGATCTCTGTTCAAACTACCCACTGTTGAAATATAGTTTAATTGGAAGTGTGGTGTCTCTCAGTTCGTTCCTCACAGTCGCAATGATCCACAGGACAGTTCAAGGACTTTTCTTCATCTTCTCCTGCTCAGTGTTGGGGTCCCAAGGCGATCTCGAGTTCAGATGTAGGTTTTTGTCGAGATATCTTGCATGATTCTCGCAAATGATGATTAAGTTGCTGGATCTTGCAGTTTTGTTCTCTTCTTTCAAGAATCTGAGATTTTGTTTTAGCTCTCAGAGACAAAAACGCATTGAGCATTATCAAAATAGCGCACTTAATTAAACAACACATAGTAACTAGAATTACGAGCACAATTTGACTGTTTTTTGTACTATAGGTTCTGCTCTATATCTATTTAATCAAGTAACTTTCAAAATTTGAATGTTGATTACAAAAATGATGTTTTTGAATGTATTTTAGGTCCCCATCCTAGCTACATTCCGGGTCCCCAGGGTCCTCAGGGGGTGCAGGGACCCATCGGAGCAGCAGGACCACCGGGACTGGAGGGACCAGAAGGTGAAAATTACTTAGTCTTTTGCAACTGTCCCCTTTTTCAGCCAAAACAACCACCACTTTTTTGCCAACTTATTTGAGCTCATTTCGCGTAACACAAAGTTGAGACACTGCTTTAACAATTTGTACACTGAAAACTTAATACAGCTTCTTAATTAGAAAAAAAGTAGTCATTTCAATCATTTTTTCTTCTCAAGAAGTTTTTTGAATAAAAAGAAACAGTCAAAACTTTTTTGAGTCGTGATGTAAAACAGATGCCAGGAAAAAAGTCTAATTGGAATTTTTTAGTATTACGCAATCGTTTGCTTGTTCAAATAGGTTAAGCATTTTAATTGGCCAATGAGCGTTATTTTTCCATTTTTGCACGCTGTTCAAATTATAGGAAAAGTGGGTCCGATGGGTCCTCCTGGGGCTCAAGGCGAACCGTGTCGAGAGGCAAACCCGATCGCCTTCTCGGCCGCCAGACAGATGGGACTGGAGGTGGTGTTCGGTCTCGCTCACACCCTCACCTTTGATCAGATGATGGCCAATGAGGGGGGTGCATTCCATCCAATCAGTGGCACCTTCACCTGTCCCCAAGACGGACTATACCTGTTCACGTCAGTTATCATTATCTGTTTACTTGTAATATATGTTGGATCAACTCAATGCTTGTTTTTGGTATTAATGACTCAATTTGTTTAAATCCAAAAAATACATCATAACTAAGTAAGGAAACATGTATTTAAAAAGATTTAACTTTATAATAAAAATTGTTCGACATTTTTTTTGCTAAACCATTTCTTGAATCATTTTTATTTTCATTTTTTTGCTATTTTTTTAAACAGAATTGCGAAGCAAGAAAGGGTCTATGAAAGTGTTATCTTTCGACGATGCATTTGAATTGTTTTACTATGTTCAACAATTAAGTGTTATTTTCTTTCATTTTAGTTTTTCGATGAGGAAGTTCCAACAAGTGAGGGCCGACTTGACAGTGAATGGGAAGATAGCCGCATCTCTCATCGGAGGAGACTCACGTTAGTGTTTTATTGCATGAAATACTTCATACCATGTAGAAAAAATCATAAATCACATCATTAGTTTTAACAATTTGGATGATTAAAATCACTGCAAAAATAACTCTGCAACCAATTTTCTGGGGGTCAACAGTAGTTTTAAATTTGGTTACAAAAAAACGCTCACATGAAATCATGAAAAGATAAAACTATTGGTTCATTTTCAGTTTTAACGGTCAAATGCTCATACTTTGTTCATTGAAATGGTATGCTATATATTTTTTCAATTTCAGCCAACGAGCACATTTCGCAGACCACTTTGCAGCAGTTGACTAGGGGTGACAAAGTGGCAGTTGAGGTGAAGGGCGCGGGTAAAATAACCCCTGGCTACGGCCCACTTCTCTCCCACAGCGCCACTTTCGCCGGCTTCAAAATCAGACACACCCCTTCGGCCAAAAACTTAGGAGGGGGAGGAGCAACGAACAGTGCCGTCTAGAGTTCAAAATATAGACTCTTCTTCTTTCTGCTCCTGATATTATTTATATTGAATCACAATAGTCTGTCCATTCAAAGTAGTCTCAATGTGCTGTTTGTTTTAAATTGTTTGTTTTTAACTGTGTCGGTATTTTCCGCAATTGCTTCAATTTACCTCATCTTCCCGTAACATTTCCGTTATTTTTGGTTGAAAAGTTTTGTTGTTTGTTGTTCCCACTGTAAACGGAAAAAATATTAATTGTTCTTAGTTCTTAATAAAACTATATCAAAAATCTAATTTAATTTAAACTTCCTTGATTTTGAAAATTTTAGATAATTACAGACAAGGTTAGGGCTAAAGATGGGTTGATTGCAAAAAAGAACACAATGCTTCTTCTGCTCACACATGAAAGTTATCGAGTAATTATTGTTCCGACTTTCGACGAAAGTAGCGGAATATTTGTGCTCGGGGTGGGTTTTTTTTCTTCAGACAAACTTCGACTTTTTAACTAGCCATTTTTGACGGAATTGTTTATATCATTCGAAAGGTATTGTTGTCCTAAGCTCAAATTTGAAAAGATATTTCACCTGTGATCATTTTTTGTAAAGTTACAGGGGTTTAAAGATTGGCATTTTGGCCAATTTGGGACAATTAAAGCGCGATATATTTCAGGCTATTAACGCTTAAGCGGAGAGTTAATCCGTATTAGAAATCGTTCCAAATTGGTTGAAAATAGCTTATTTGCCATAATTGATTTGTTACAAGGAGCGAGATCTATCTTTCTGTTCTGTATATGGCGTGAGGGGGATGATTTTCAAAAAAAAATTCAAAATTTAGGAAAAAATTTTTACGCGATTGAATACGAGTAATAACACGGCGGTTTTATGGGTTTTGCAATATTCAAAAAATCTTTTTCTCCTAAAACATTATTGAGATCTTGTTAAGGAGTTTTACCGAAAAATCAATTGTTTTCCATAATCTCTCAAGTTCACTCCCAAACATAGCCAAGAAAATAAGAGAATATAATAATAACAAGACTGCTCGTATCAGGGCGAAGCCCTGAATGTTCCGACTGCCTGTGAAGGTATATGGAGCAGCAGTAATAACATAAAAACATTATATGAAAAAAAAATAAAATGAAAATTTTTTTTTCTAAAATTTGAATCCCCCCACACGCCATATAAAAGACAAAAAGATAGTTTTCGTTCCCTGTAACACATCAATTATGGCAAATAAGCTTCGTTCAACCAATTTGGAACAATTTATAAGACTGATTAAATCTCAGCTTAGGCGTTAATAGCGCGAATTATATCGCGCGTTAATTGTCCCAAATTGGTCAAAATGGCCAAAATGGCAATCTTTAAACCGTCATAACTTTACGAAAAATGATCACAGGTGAAATATCTTTTCAAAATTAAGCTCAGACCAAAAATATTTTTCGAATGGTTTTTAAAAAACTCTGTCAAAATTGGCTAGTTAAAATGTCGAAATTTGTCTGAAGGAAAAAAAACCCAGCCCGAGCACAAATATTCCGTTACTTTCGTATCGAAAGTCGGAACAACAATAAAGCAACTTTCAAAAAAAGGTTGATGAAGTTAGTAAAGAATGATATCATATGATACCACAGTAGAAACTTTTTTCGAAGTTATTCTTTTTTATCATGTTATGGCTGTTTTTGTTCGTGGTGTGATGAGAAAAGTATTTAACCGCGTGAAACGTCAGTGATTTAGAGAAAATCGACAACGATTGTCTTCAAAAATAAGAAAAAACAAATCGAAATATAGGAAATTAAATGAATTTTTTTATTGTCAAGAAAGCGCTGATTGAAGCTTTTGATATAAGTTCTCCGAGAATAAAACCAAGTTTTTCACCACTGATAAGAAAGTTTTTAGCCTAATTGCAAGCAAATATCTTTTGGATGATTTAAAAAAATTCCGTCAAAAATGGCTAGTTAAAAAGTCGAAATTTGTCTGAAGAAAACAAAACCCAGCCCGAGCACAAATATTCCGTTACTTTCGTATCGAAAGTCGGAACAACAATAAAGCAACTTTCAAAAAAAGGTTGATGAAGTTAGTAAAGAATGATATCATATGATACCACAGTAGAAACACAAGCGGCAATGAATGATTGTAGTCCCTGAGAAATTCTTCCATAAGCCCATTTTGCAGAGGCGGATATAGGATTTTCTCGATGGAGGGAACTAAAAAACATTTAAAAAAAAACAGGCCAAAAAATACGCTTTATGCCTTTTATGAAAAATTTTGTAATGTTCCAGGTTTTTTTCGTCGCGCATAAATAAAAAAAGTCGCCTAAATAAAAATAAAATTTTTTGTGCGTGATAATGATTGCAAGCACAAACAAAAAATTCAAAAAAATTAAAAAACGACAAGGACAGCTGGTTGCTTTGCGAAGTAGCACAGAATGGTCCGACCACATTCATTGAAACTTTTTTCGAAGTTATTCTTTTTTATCATGTTATGGCTGTTTTTGTTCGTGGTGTGATGAGAAAAGTATTTGACCGCGTGAAACGTCAGTGATTTAGAGAAAATCGACAACGATTGTCTTCAAAAATAAGAAAAACAAATCGAAATATAGGAAATTAAATGAATTTTTTTATTGTCAAGAAAGCGCTGATTGAAGCTTTTGATATAAGTTCTCCGAGAATAAAATCAAGTTTTTCACCACTGATAAGAAAGTTTTTAGCCTAATTGCAAGCAAATATCTTTTGGATGATTTAAAAAAATTCCGTCAAAAATGGCTAGTTAAAAAGTCGAAATTTGTCTGAAGAAAAAAAAACCCAGCCCGAGCACAAATATTCCGTTACTTTCGTATCGAAAGTCGGAACAACAATAAAGCAACTTTCAAAAAAAGGTTGATGAAGTTAGTAAAGAATGATATCATATGATACCACAGTAGAAACTTTTTTCGAAGTTATTCTTTTTTATCATGTTATGGCTGTTTTTGTTCGTGGTGTGATGAGAAAAGTATTTGACCGCGTGAAACGTCAGTGATTTAGGGAAAATCGACAACGATTGTCTTCAAAAATAAGAAAAAACAAATCGAAATATAGGAAATTAAATGAATTTTTTTATTGTCAAGAAAGCGCTGATTGAAGCTTTTGATATAAGTTCTCCGAGAATAAAACCAAGTTTTTCACCACTGATAAGAAAGTTTTTAGCCTAATTGCAAGCAAATATCTTTTGGATGATTTAAAAAAATTCCGTCAAAAATGGCTAGTTAAAAAGTCGAAATTTGTCTGAAGAAAAAAAACCCAGCCCGAGCACAAATATTCCGTTACTTTCGTATCGAAAGTCGGAACAACAATAAAGCAACTTTCAAAAAAAGGTTGATGAAGTTAGTAAAGAATGATATCATATGATACCACAGTAGAAACACAAGCGGCAATGAATGATTGTAGTCCCTGGAAAATTCTTCCATAAGCCCATTTTGCAGAGGCGGATATAGGATTTTCTCGATGGAGGGAACTAAAAAACATTTAAAAAAAACAGGCCAAAAAATACGCTTTATGCCTTTTATGAAAAATTTTGTAATGTTCCAGGTTTTTATTCGTCGCGCATAAATAAAAAAAGTCGCCTAAATAAAAAGAAAATTTTTTGTGCTTGATAATGATTGCAAGCACAAACAAAAAATTCAAAAAAATTAAAAAACGACAAGGACAGCTGGTTGCTTTGCGAAGTAGCACAGAATGGTCCGACCACATTCATTGAAACTTTTTTCGAAGTTATTCTTTTTTATCATGTTATGGCTGTTTTTGTTCGTGGTGTGATGAGAAAAGTATTTGACCGCGTGAAACGTCAGTGATTTAGAGAAAATCGACAACGATTGTCTTCAAAAATAAGAAAAACAAATCGAAATATAGGAAATTAAATGAATTTTTTTATTGTCAAGAAAGCGCTGATTGAAGCTTTTGATATAAGTTCTCCGAGAATAAAACCAAGTTTTTCACCACTGATAAGAAAGTTTTTAGCCTAATTGCAAGCAAATATCTTTTGGCTGATTTAAAAAAATTCCGTCAAAAATGGCTAGTTAAAAAGTCGAAATTTGTCTGAAGAAAAAAAAACCCAGCCCGAGCACAAATATTCCGTTACTTTCGTATCGAAAGTCGGAACAACAATAAAGCAACTTTCAAAAAAAGGTTGATGAAGTTAGTAAAGAATGATATCATATGATACCACAGTAGAAACTTTTTTCGAAGTTATTCTTTTTTATCATGTTATGGCTGTTTTTGTTCGTGGTGTGATGAGAAAAGTATTTGACCGCGTGAAACGTCAGTGATTTAGGGAAAATCGACAACGATTGTCTTCAAAAATAAGAAAAAACAAATCGAAATATAGGAAATTAAATGAATTTTTTTATTGTCAAGAAAGCGCTGATTGAAGCTTTTGATATAAGTTCTCCGAGAATAAAACCAAGTTTTTCACCACTGATAAGAAAGTTTTTAGCCTAATTGCAAGCAAATATCTTTTGGATGATTTAAAAAAATTCCGTCAAAAATGGCTAGTTAAAAAGTCGAAATTTGTCTGAAGAAAAAAAACCCAGCCCGAGCACAAATATTCCGTTACTTTCGTATCGAAAGTCGGAACAACAATAAAGCAACTTTCAAAAAAAGGTTGATGAAGTTAGTAAAGAATGATATCATATGATACCACAGTAGAAACACAAGCGGCAATGAATGATTGTAGTCCCTGAGAAATTCTTCCATAAGCCCATTTTGCAGAGGCGGATATAGGATTTTCTCGATGGAGGGAACTAAAAAAATTAAAAAAAAAACAGGCCAAAAAATACGCTTTATGCCTTTTATGAAAAATTTTGTAATGTTCCAGGTTTTTTTCGTCGCGCATAAATAAAAAAAGTCGCCTAAATAAAAAGAAAATTTTTTGTGCTTGATAATGATTGCAAGCACAAACAAAAAATTCAAAAAAATTAAAAAACGACAAGGACAGCTGGTTGCTTTGCGAAGTAGCACAGAATGGTCCGACCACATTCATTGAAACTTTTTTCGAAGTTATTCTTTTTTATCATGTTATGGCTGTTTTTGTTCGTGGTGTGATGAGAAAAGTATTTGACCGCGTGAAACGTCAGTGATTTAGAGAAAATCGACAACGATTGTCTTCAAAAATAAGAAAAAACAAATCGAAATATAGGAAATTAAATGAATTTTTTTATTGTCAAGAAAGCGCTGATTGAAGCTTTTGATATAAGTTCTCCGAGAATAAAACCA